TTCTAGGAGGAACAAGTCTGAAAATGCTTTTAGTGAGCCAGATATGTTTTGCACTTGTAACCCTACATTTTTTTTGCTAGATTCTGCTGATCCTCCTATCTTTGCCTCAAAATCTCATTTTTGATTATTTCTTGATGCTGCTGCGGCTTTTATCCATTTAGAACATCCATCACATCTCTTCTAGCATGGTTTAAGTGGACCAATTGATGCAAGCCCTGACAGATTCTGCAGTTATAGAAAATCAAGGTATAAGTTAGAAATATTGTTACTGTGAGAATTTATTTTGTTGTTCTTTAGTCATTAAGTTGTGTCCAACTCTTCGTGACCTCATGGACCAGAGCACACCAGGCCCTCCTGTCTTCCACCGCCTCCTGGAGTTAGGTCAAATTCATGTTGGTCGCTTCGATGACACTGTCCAACCATCTTGTCCTCTGTCGTTCCCTTCTCCTCTTGCCTTCACACCTTCCCAACATCAGGGTCTTTTCCAGGAAGTCTTCTCTTCTCATGAGATGGCCAAAATATTGGGACCTCAGATTCCGGATCTGTCCTTCCAGTGAGCACTCAGGCTTGATTTCTTTCAAAATGGATAGGTTTGATCTCCTTGCAGTCCAGGGGACTCTCAATAGTCTCTTCCAGCACCACAGTACGAAAGCATCAATTCTTCAGCGGTCAGCCTTCTTTATGGTCCTGCTCTCACTGCCATACATTGCTACTGGAAAAACCATAGCTTTGACTATGTGGACCTTTGTTGGCAAGGTGATGTCTTGCTTTTTAAGATGCTTAGGTTTGTCATTGCTTTTCCCCCAAGAAGCAAGCATCTTTTAATTTTGTGGCTTTTAGTGAGCCAGATATGTTTACCCAAGAAAGTAAACACTGTCACTGCCTCCATATCTTCCCCTTCTCTTTGCAAGGAGGTGATGGGGCCAGTGGCCATGATCTTAGTTTTTCTGATGTTGAGCTGCAGACCATTTTTTGCACTCTCCTCTTTCACCCTCATTAAGAGGTTCTTTAATTCCTCCTCATTTTCTGCCATCAGAGTAGTATCATCTGCATATTGGAGGTTGTTGGTATTTCTTCTAGCAATCTTAATTCCAGTTTGAGATTCATCCAGTCCTGCCTTTTGCATGATATATTCTGCATATAAGTTAAATAAGCAGGGAGGCAATATAAAGCCTTGTCATACTCCATTCCCAATTTTGAACCAATCAGTTGTTCCATATCCAGTTCTAACTGTTGCTTCTTGTTCCACATATAGATTTCTCAGGAGATAGACAAGGTGGTCAGGCACTCCCATTTCTTTAAGGACTTGCCATAGTTTGTTGTGGTCCACATATTCAAAGGCTTTTGCATAGTTAGTGAAGCAGAAGTAGATTTTTTTTGGAACTCCTGCATTTCTCCATAATCCAGCGCATGTTAGCAATTTGGTCTCTAGTTCCTCTG